AACAGTAACTAAATCATTACAACAGTAACTAAATCATTACAACAGTATTTATGTTAGTACATTAACACTCTCCTCACTTTGTCCCTCTACTTGAAGTTGGTGCTGTAGAACAGTGGTTCCCAACCCTGGTCCTCGAGGAACACCATCCTTCATGTTTTAGTTGTTTCCCTGCTCAAACACACCTAACTCGGTGATTTGATTACTTCAAGTTCTGCAGAAGCCTGTTAATCACACATTCAAATCAGGTGTGTCAAAGCAGGGAAACAACTAAAACATGCAGGATGGTGTTCCTCAAGGAGCAAGGCTGGGAACCACCGCTGTAGAAGATGCAACAAACATGTCTAATTAAGACATTTGAGAGCATCTGTCTCCACATTTCTTTTGTCTCCACATTTTTTTCTGTACCTCGTTTTCTTTTTCAACTCTTCATTTTGTGTCCTTACTTTTCTACCTGTACTGGTTCCAGAACCGTGAGAAACTCAAGTACAAGCTAAAGGTAGGGGAGGACAGTGTGGGCCAAGGACAGACTAAGCAATGTGACAAGGTTTGCCCAATATCAAATGGTCCACTGCTCATTATTTACATACTAACCGGTCAGTAGAAAAAAAAAAAAATATATATATATATATATTATATTACCCGTTACCAGTCTAGCCCTGGCTCTGTGTAACAAAATGACTGAAAATGTTATAAATAAATACTGTGAAGGGTGTTAATATCTGAATGCTGGATGGATTGAGATTTATTTTCCTGTAAGATTGTACAATGTTCTTCATCATTTGCTCGTTTGTTTCTGTAACTTTTTTTTCTGAATTGCATCAGTTTCCGAATGACATCTTGTCTGGGTATAAGTTGTTTATACGGCTTATTGTACTCCAGAGAATGTACCTTTTTCTGTTTGCCCTGCAGGGTCACAAATGAATCTGAGGGAATCAGGAGATTTGCGGTCACAAGGTAAGTACCTGAGTTTCACATGCTTTCAAAGACCGGTAGAACCAGTTGTGGCTCAACCCCTGAACGTTCTTTTCCAGTTGCCATCTATCTGGGTATCAAAAAGCGTCCGAGCCCCGGGCCATCGGACGTGGCTGGAATCTGAGAGGATGTGGGCAGCGAGACCCTGTGGAGGTGGTACTGGCTTTGCGGGAGGCGGCGCTCGGATGTGGGTGCCAAGTCCACCATTCCGGCCCCTTTCTGCTCTCCTGCACCCATGGCATTGCAGGGGGGGGTGTGGCTTTTGAAGCAGAGGTGTGCCATCTTTCCTCGGGCACTACAGAGACTTCTAATGGGGTGCGCTACACGCGACTCTGGGGGGCACCACTGGCTTTTCGGGACATTGCCACCCAAATCTCTAAGGACCTTGAACTTTGAAGGGGGGGAGGGGTTGTGTTCCAGTGTGTTGTTTGTGTGTTTATGTGTGTGTGCAAAGCAAATTAAAAAGGGGGTGGGGACAATAGACAGGGTAAGGGGCTGGACCCTTTCAACATTAACCCTCCCCCCAAAATAAAATAAAAACACACAATCACACATCTGACCTGTAAAGTAATGCAGACAGAAGCGCCGCCCTGTCCACCCAGCTTAGCCAGCTTCTGCAGCCCTGGTCCTGGATCAGATGGAACCAAGCTGAATATTTTTCTTACTGCTCCGAGCCATAATGACTGTTTCTTTAGACCCACTCTGATCTTTGTTTTCATATTCTTCACCTCAGTAACGCATCCCTCATCAGGCAGACACCACCCCAAGCAACATTCATTCCTCATGCTTTTCTTTCTGCCAGGGATTATCTCCTGACCTTTAACCTTTGGGGAACAGTAATGTGCACATATGTGGAAATAATTGAGTTCAGTGATCATGTGAGCATCAGCAGTGTGCTTATTGCTTTGCTTCGTGTACACACAGTGGTGACACCTGCATTGGATTAAGGTCAGTGGGAGTTGATGCTTTTTGTGACCAGCCAGTCAGAGAACAGTGACTCAGAACAGCCAATCAGAGAGCAATGAAGATTAAAAACAACCAATTAGAGAGCAATTTGAAGTAACGAGCAGCCAATCAAGGATAAATACAGACTCCAAAGAGCCGGCGAGAATTTGAACTTAATGAACTACGGTCACGGTCTACACGCTGCTCACAATGTGTGTTCACCAATTGTAGACTATTTTTATATTTATTGACCAATCAGTTTTTTGCTTGAATACCTAGACATTTACAGTCTCACTGCATATAACTAATGAGTTTTAAAATGCTCTGTGGAGTAGGATGAAAAAGAATTATAGCACTCTGAAAAGACCTCGACTAATAAAGTTTATGGGCTTTAATAAATTGTTATTATCTCCGCTATTAAAACATAGTTCAACAAACTCATTAAATATGATAGGCAGGTGCCTGATGGTTACCAAATTCAACTTTCCCTTGTAATTCCAAAATCAAACTATTTTATTCTGCTTTTTTTTTTTTTTTTTTTTTTTTTTTTTTTTTTACATCACACACAAATATACAGGGGAGGAAAAAAAACCAAACGTAAATGGATATTTTACTCAAAAGAACAGCTAATTGTAAATTACATATTTGAAATGTGAAGAACACAAAAACCTAAAGGTAATCTAGGCTAAGATGGTTAAAACTTGTCTCACAGGTTTGACCCCCAGCAGGCCTTTCTGTGTGGAGTTTGCAGGTAATTTTTGAGACTGAATGGGTTTTTCTCTGGGTAACTGCAGCTTATTCCCACAGTTTGTAAAACATACCAATAGGATTAATTAGTGATTGCAAACTATCCTTAGTTTAGGTGGTACCAGTCAATACAGTTCATTTCTGTAGATCCAAGTCCCAACAGAAGTTGTCTCGAGCGGCTTCGGATGTTATCAGCCCATAAAATGGCCGTTATCGGTTGTTCTCATCCCCATATGTAGCTGTGAAACTGCCCCACCTACCTCCTAGTAGGTTTAAAGGGTACGTTATTATTGCTGATAATAGGCAGCCTCGCAGGGGGGTAAACCAGGAAGTGTCTTTTTTTTTTTTTGGGGGGGGGGGGGGGGGGGGCGGGGTTCATCTTATATAACCCTTTTCCTAAACATAAGCTTACATATGACCCAGAGGACCAACCCTAAACTTAACCCCCTTACCCTTGTGCCTAAACCTAACCAAGACCCTAAACCTAACCGCCAGACCCTTTACTGTAAACCTAACCACGTGAAGCTATTATGAGCGCTAACAAAGCTAAAAACAGAGCCTATTATCATCGCTAACAACGTACCTTTAAACCCACTAGGAGGTACAGGAGGGGCAGTCTGACCCCTACATATGGAGATGATAATAACTAATAACAGCCATTTAATGGCCGATCGCATTTGAAGCGGGTGTTGTCTCAGGGTGCTGTATAAAAACATTCACATACTGGTACATAAAACAGCCAATTAGTAAAAGTTCTGTATCTAAGGAAGCAGCAGATTGTGTTGAATCTTCACTTTGTCACAGTCTCCCATCCTGAGCAATCGAAAAGGAGACAGTGGAAAGAAGAAAAACATTTTAACAGGAATAAACCTCCAGCAGAACCAGTCTCAGGACAAGCAGCCATCTGCTTCGACCAGCTGGTTTGAGAGGACAGGAAGGAAAAACAGACCAACACAGATTGACAGGTCTAGATGTACTTTCTATAGGAGGAAAGACTTTCAACCTGTCTATTGTGTCACCCACCTGTTGCACATTGATTGATCGAGATAGGCACAGAAAATGGCTCGATCGATTGATAGATGGATCGATCATTGGACCAGCAGTCACTGTGCAAGAGGCGGGGTACACACTGGACAGATCACAAGTCCATGCAGAGACAAATGAGACAACTATTCACACGCTCACACCTAGGGACAATTTAGAGTCACCAATCAGCCGGACACACGTTTGTAGTCTGTCGGAGAAAACCAAAGTACCCATTAAATAAAATGCATACACGGGGAGAACCTGTAATTTCCACATAGAAAGGCCAGGAGGCCAACCTGCAACGTTCTTGCTATGAATCAGCATTGCTTACCACTGCACCACTGTGTTGCCCGGCTACAAAATCAGTCAGACACTATTAGTTACGTCTAGATTATGCTAAAAAGGTTTTATCTGCAGCTTCCTGTAAATTACAAGACCTCGACTTGAAGTAGTTTGCAGCTCCTCAGAAGAATGACGGACTGTTTTCTGATTGGCTGATTCTTGTGAATCTTTAACTCTTCTGTCCAATTTGTTGTTTGAACAAACAGCTGTGATCCATGTGCTGATGAATGTTTCCAACCCCAAACTCAACTGTTAATGGTCTGACTGAGCAACACACCAACCTTACTCTTTAAAGCAGTCTGTCACCCCTCTACTGAACAAATGATTGGGTCCAGGGTTTTTTCAGTGCAATGCAACTCTTGTTGTTCTCTCTGGCGCTGTGTGATCTCACTTTACTCATCATCTCTCGATGAGGGGATAACATCGAAATGTGGATCAGCCATGCTTACCTTTACATACGGGAGGTAACAGATCTCTGTATCCCTTCGGCCCGGTTTACAAACTACTCAGCCCATTTCTGATGACTGCTTGGCTCAGAGGGGTGCTATCTGTCTGAGAAGACAAGATGAAGATACTGGTTAGTCCAGCTGCCTTTCAAGTGAACAGCCCCCAGCACCTTCACACGGTACATATTCAATGTAAGAAAAAAAACTGAGAAAGCGTTTTTATCCCTCCCTGTATTATAGTAAATAATGTACTGTGATATTTGCGTAGGCTACAGAAGTCATATTGTTTGGCTGCTGATTTACTGTTAAATCTATCTCTCAGTTGTGGCTTTACTCATGGTGACCCTCCACTTTCCACCCCCAGCCTCTCAAAAACTTGTTTCTACCCATCACCACATCTCTAAATTTGACAGGGACGTCATTCTCACCTGTTGGTTCACTGTAATCACCAAGAACTGTTTTCTACCTGTCACAAGCTTTCAGCTTTGTTTCCAGAGAGGGAGCAATCAGCCATCGTCCACTCTTTGCTGTGTTGCATCTTAATCCGTTTGGTGTGCCGTTCCCTTTAGTCCAACAGGGGGGGCTGTTTTTGACCTGCTGTACCCCTCAGGTTGAGAAGCAGACACCAAAATGGACACTAGGGGTCTGTCCGTGTCCTCTCCCTGGGCTTTTCTCATTGTGGTGTATATTAGCATTAGGTAATATAGACCTCAATGCACTTTGCTTTGACTTGAATCAGCTCCCTCTGGTGCACCTGTTCAGGTAATGGCCAGAACGTGTCACTGGAGGGCGCCAATGTCTTAAATGTGAAACACTTCAATTTGTGGATATTTGCACAGGTACTTTATTTATTTTTTAGAATAATATCATTAAAAAACTGGATTTATATCAGTCATTTGATGGCTGTATATAAAATATATGAATATAGTATATATCTTAGAGCTCAAGGTTTATTTATAGTTAGATCAAGGGAAGTAATACTAGATTAAACCAGTTTCTGTCAGTGACATGGAGGAACTAAACCAACCTGCAATCCTGCATGACTTTGGGGTTTTAGTGTGAAAAATAAAACATGATGTACACCTAACTTTGAAGGCTTAATGAAATGCAGATATCAATTTGTAGAAATAAATTGTTGAGTGAAGATTTTTGTTCCCCTTTCACTAAAACAAACCGAAGGGCTCCAGTGAGATGCAGTGAATTTACACCAACTTGTTGCTAGAGGTTAGAAATTAAACTTGATTTCACAACAATTCTGAGACCTTCATAGCATGCCAAACAATCCTAAGTTTGCAATCAAACCATAGAGAAGTTGTGTCTTCAGATCACAAATATGAGTCAGGTTGTTTGCAAAGTATTTAAGTGATATTTTTATGTATAGTGGAAAGACAGTAATAATTTGGAGTCACAGCACTTCTAGTGTAAGACAGATGAACATTGTCTTGAATTGAACATTACTGTGAATTATTTTTAAGTATTTGTTGAGCCGAGTGTTAAGAAAACGCAGAGAACAGTCTGGTTTGGTGAAACAGAACAATTTTAGCACCCAGTGGGGTTTGGTGTTTCACATAATTTCTTAATTAACTTTCAGAACAATTGATGTTTTATGCAAAAGAGACGTAGAAACAACCTCAGTGTGACTATGAGTCATTTTACTCTGATCTGCAGTTCATTTCCTTTCCTC